TCAAACACTCAATTGTATCGTCCCAGCTGTCAAAACTGTCAAACTGAATGTTTTCTCACTCTATCTCTCTCTGTGTGTGTGTATGTAGCATATATTTTCTTTTCGTCAAATTCTCGTCAAATGTTTTTGATTTGATCCGTAGGGCAATATATAAATGTGGTGTGTGAATTTCCAACAAAAAAAAAACAACAACACTCGTAATAGATAACACATTGGGTTCTATTCGTATGTATGTATGTGTTGTGTGTATGTTTTTGCTTTTTTATTTTTTCTTCTATCGACTTGATTCGCCGGTTATTTTATTTTTACCAAATGAAATTTTCAATATTTTTCTGCTGTTGTTTTTGTTGAATTCATTGTGGCTGTAATAAGCTGGACTGTGTTTTTGGTTTATTGGCGACAAACTAAACACAAAACAAAAACATACAGAAAAAAAAACAATACGAAAGAATATTGTGAAATGTTGGAGGAAAAGAAGCACGATTTTTTCGTTGTTGTTGTTGTTGTTTTTCTGGTTGTTGCGGTTTATATGAAAACCATCATCAAAAATTCGTGAACGAAAAAACCAAAACTTTTTTATTTTCGTTGTCCATTCCCTATGATTATCATTTTTTTCTGGTTGAATATCGATTCAATTCACAAACCTAGTATTTAAATTTTCGTAAACAAACCCGATCTTGACTTGTTGTTGTTGTTGAAAAACATAAGATTATAGTTTCTACATAAGAAAAAACTACTGTAAATGTTTTATTCTTNACATAGGAACCGGATACAGGATTGTTTGTGTGTGTGTGGATGTCATGTTTCTTTTCTCACTCAGTTATTTGGCAAATAGAAAAACAATCAATCATTTTCATTGGATGTTTCGATGATGGCTATCTATTCTATAATCAGAAATTTTTTGGTAGAATAACAAAAAAACACATTGGAAAAAAACACAAACACATGTTGCACCACCATCATCATAGTTATCATTATCATCATCAATGGTCATCAATATAGTCGTTTTGGTCATTTTTTAGGACGGCTAAAAAAAGAAGTTTTCATTTCATTTTCATCATTTTTTTTTGTCTGAAAATGATTATTATTTATTGTTGTTGTTGAAGGTCCATTATTATCTCACCTTATTTGATTTTATCAACAACCAAAACCATAACCATAATGATGATGATGATGATAATAATATGCAAATAAACCATACACGCACACCAGAGGAATTTTGTTGTATATGTTTGTTGTGAAGAAACAAAAAAAATTCTTGAAAATTCAAAACATTTTTTTGCTGATATTCTGTGCTGGTCTGTTCAAAAAATTCAAGGGTATATTCATAAGGGTGGATGTTTGATGTTCATTTCAATCAAAAAAAATACTACTATAGAATCTGCTGTGAAATGAAGTGAAAATGATGATGATGTTGATGATTGACGACGAAGACTACGACGACGACATCGACAAATGAAATGATGATGATGATCGCGAAAAACGTGCGTAATAGAGTAGTGTGTATATTTGTCTGATGGAGAATAGTAGTGTGTGTGTGTGGAAAAATTAAGGATGTGGCTCCACAAACAGAAAAAAAATGTTTCTCCTATCAAACATCATACATTACTCTTTCTTTTTTTTTGCAAATAGATTTCTCTCTCTCTCTCTCTCTCTCTCTCTCTCTCTCTCTCTTTGTTTTTTTTTCTGTTATTATTATAACACAAAACAATGCGCG